ATGGAAAAGCCAGAAAAACTAAAATTACCAAAGGTAAAACTGTTCAAAAAGATTCTATAGTTTGATTATCTAAGTCATAACATTTAATTAAAGACTCAAATGTTAAATAAACCATTATATACATAACAAACACCAAGATTATTACAGAATAATTTAAGATAAAATACTAATCTTGGAAATTAGAAATAATAATATTTTTACTGATACTTTAAACCTAGAAAAGATTTCATTGAATTACAAAATCAATATTTTTTATAAACTACTAAAATTATGAAAATAGAAGAAATCGTTTTACCCATTTTATTAATAGTAATAATTTATCTAGTTTCAAAGATAAATATAATTAATAGGGGATGCAATCCCCCTTTTTTGAATGCTCGCGAATTCTCGCGAGTGTTAACAGGTGAACCACGTAGCGGTCACCTATAGCCGATTTTTCGTATTGAGCTGCTGAGAAGAGAGCTTAAGTCCAGATAGCCTTGTTGCGGTTTCCGGCACTTATTTTGAGTTCTTATTCGTCTTAGTCTGGGGGAGGAAAATTCGCGTCTTTTTTTAAAGTTGAGTCAGACTGCCATGTTGCGGCATCTGACCCCAATGTCTTTAGTTTTTTCGGGTCGAGTGTTGCAACTATGATGATATACAATTTGATTAGTTTCGCTCTTCTATGCTACTGCAGCTAGAAGCAGCTTTTGTTCGTTGTTTTATTCTGAGTTGCAACCTCACCCATCTTATTGATTTTTGATCAATTTTGATTTAGGTTCTTATTGAACAGGGACGTCGATACGGAGCGGTTGTGGCTCGGTGACCCAGAGGAGGACCTGCAATTTGACTCTGACATCTCCCTGTGAGATGTCAGAACGCCGCCAAGACGCCGTCAATAACTCCGATTTCGACTTTCCTCACCACGCATGCATCGTCTAGTAACTCGATGACGAAAACCAGTACCGGAGACCAAGTATATGAAGCAAAAACCCCACGGGATGATCATCTATACAGCCAGGAAAGCGATGCACCTGAATTCCAGTACAGTAGCACACGAAGATCGGTTGGTCCCATCTAAGTTTCAGCTCTTGCTAGGCACTATCGTCAGATTGTAAGGAGCACTTCTTCATTGACTGTACGCGTGTTACTTCGATGTTTTATCTCGGTATTCTGCAACATTTTTTTTCTTTCCAGATTTTGTACGAACAGGAGAATACGCCGAATTGCTCCTAGAAGTAGCAGTAGTCAATGGAACTTTAGACCACACACACACCACTATCGACCACATTGAACTGTACGGTTTAAGGAATAGAAGCCACAAAACTCAAAAAAAAAAAAAAAAAAAAAAAAAAAAAAAAAAAAAAAAAAAAAAAAAACTGTACGGTAAGCCTAGTACGACAGCGCCTCCTACTTTCTTCAACTCTCATATCAATCTCATTATTTGGGGTGAACAAACCTCCTTAATAACGGAGGCAAACGCAAATGAAGTATTAACAATAAGCAACGCCTTAAAATCTTCTTACCAGGACCAAGTCCAATTGACTTTAAGTTAGAACAGCCGGATTGAAGAAGAACCCAAATTTCCTCAAACAAAAATTTTAGCCAAGTGGATTACAGAAAATTCAAAAAAAGAATAAAAAAAAATTCTTTACTGTCAAATTTAAGTTAAATTATTTAATTACCCCTAGCAGTCAAAATGAAAATAGGTATGCTTAAATTTTTAGAAGCACCTTTCTTAGAAATTTAGTGAAACTTGAATTTATTAACATTAACATATTTTTTTCAGGTTAATCTAATAGTTTCCGGATATCTACATTACAACATAAATTCGGGCACAAAAATAAAATTAAATACGCTTTCCACTGCGTGCACAAGTCCAATTTTGAATCGATTCATCTCTGAAATAACCTGAACATAGTTGTACTATAATTTATAACGTGTAGTTTTTTACAAATGTTTTGGAGGCCGCGTAGCGTAGCGGCCACAGGTCCCTAGTATCAATGTAAAAACTAAACGAACAACCCATACGTCACAACGACCAATCGTCATTGAAGCAATAAATGTTTCTCAGCGAAACAAAACATAACGACGGTGTCAGTGCGCAACCACGTATCTAGTTTGCGGTGTTTGAAAATCTCCGCTCCTGTTCTATCTTTTTAACAGAGTAGAAATCGACGTCATCTTGAAGTTCCTGTAGGATTTTCTTCGTACGAGAAGAAAAATCACGGCAGATGAACGGCAAAGGACACTCATCAAGTAGTTTTCCATTTGGAAAATAAAGTATGACAGGAAGAGTCCCCACTGAAAAAAAAAAATCTCTGTGTATTTACTAAGAAAATGGTAATATTACCAAGAATTCAGGGTTCTATCTGATCCCAGTTTTTTCTTGGTAAAATTATTGAACTTTCTCGGTAATTTTACTGGACCTTGGGAAAAACGCCAATATTTTTTCGACTGTGGTAGAATTACCGAGATAAAATGGCAAAGTTACCGGGAATTGATTACCAATAAAAGTGTTATTCTTACCTGAAAAAAAAAAATCAGAAAAAATACTGGTTTTTAGTTAAGCTTACCAGTCTGTCTTGGTAAAATTACCGATAATTGGTAAAAAGTGAGATGGTAAAGGTACATACGGACCTTCGTAAAAATGCCGAGAATTTTTTTTTCAGTGCATCAAGTAGTTTTCCATTTGAAAAATTAAGTATGACAGGAAGAGTCGTCCCCAACGTCACATACCGAGTTGCGGACTTCCACCGCCGATACACTTTTCCCGGTTATTTTCCTTCAACGGCCAAGGAGGAGTTTTACGGGGGCTTCAGAGTGGTGACGTTTGGGAACACTTCACCGACGACTTGAGTGATACATCGTAAATAGGAACAGACAATGGACACTACTTCATTTCACGCGGGATCGCACATCAGTATACACGCGATCTCGAAATATCCTGAAAGCGCATCCGCATTCACGAAACAGTTTCTCCACGGCTCCTTAAGGTACGTACTCCTTTATTCGTATACCGGATTGCTATTAAACATTTTAGTGAATTTTCCGGAGGATATACACTGTTATCTTTCATTTTTCTGGCGTGGTATCTCAAAATCCTCTGGAAAATCCTCAAGAAAACTAGCTGGCATTTTCCTTAGAGGCTCTCGGCCAAAAGCTAGGGTTATTTCATGTTTTACTTCTCGTATTATCCAAACTTTCACGAAACATCCATTTAAACTCTACACGTTTTATCCTGCACCTTGGAGGCCTTGAAGAACTCTGTCGCCTGCATTTTCATGGAAGCTACCGGGTGACTCAGGAACCGTGTTTTGAAAATAAGTAAATCGTAGCCAGTGGCGTGGCGTGAATTGCAATATATCGATTGTTATGCTTAAACCTATGAAAAAGGATCGATAAACAGGGGGTTCGTAGCGAACACCTTAATAATCGATTCTTTACCATAGGTTGAAATGGCATAAGAATCGATACATCGCAATTCACGCCACGCCACTGATCGTAGCTTGTGCATGATTGGGTCGATGGGTACATGCGGAAAATCTCTATCTCAACGGCAATCCTCCAGTTCGGTTTCAATTTCTTCAAGGAAAAAGTGAACAAAATGTTTCCTTGCAATTTTTGTATTTTCTTTGAATGCGTGAAAATGAACGCAGAAAATTTCAGGACAAATGCGGCCTCCCAACATCATATATTTAAATACGTGATGTTCGACTTAGGATACATAGATTTACTCATTTTAAGTTTCATTTATTTTTATTTTTTTTACATATGCTCAGTGTAACTTAGGAGAGAGAACTGACCACACGAGATCTGCTACTTAATCAAAGAAGCAGAAAATTTCAAGACAAATGCGGACTCCCGACATCATAGATTTGAAATACGCGACGTTCGGCTTAGGATACATAGATTTACTCATTTTAAGTTGCATTTATAATGATTTTTCTTATTACATATGCTCAGTGTAACTTGGAGAGAGAACTGACCATACGAGATCAGCTAATTTATCATGGAAATTAAAATATTTCGCAATCCATCGCCTCTGTTATATCTGAGGTAACGACAAGAACTATTTTCGCCATTCAAAATCATGCTTGAAAAATAAAACTTCATGAAAACATACTATCGATCATGCTGCAATTACTGATTTTTTAATGGACATCTACAGTATTTAAATAGTGAGTACTTCGAACTTAAGTTCTGATTTCTCCCCTAACAAAATTTCGTGAGATTCTACAGTTGCAAAAACAAAACAAACTATAAAAGTGCAAAGTACGTAGTAGGTTGGGCGACAATAGTAAGTAGGCACATTGATTTCCTAGTTATGGTTATCAAAGTTGGAAATAGTGCCGCCCTGCTACCACTTTTTACTACGAGGCTTTCATTGGACCGAGTTTACACGCAAGTGTCACATCAAGTTGAAAATCAGAAAAATAAGTTCGTAGTTTTATTCCTCTATAAGACTCAATAAAGAAGGTAAACTTAAACTGCTCTTATCACAGACTAATATTTTTTTCCGGCTTCGAGTTTTTGGCTGGAGAAAAAGTACAACCAGAAAAACTCAAAATCATTTTGACCTCAATTTTTCGAAAATGTGGGTTGGTTCCTTTCTGACGAACTCTTGTCAAATTATAGGTGCGCTAATAAGGTCGGCCCTTGGTTACCTTATACTTTGCTTGGGGGTCTAGGGAATTCGAATGGTGTCAATGAGATGATCATTTGATTTCAGATGTTACTTTTACATGCAATAGCGTGCGCCGTCCTCGTGGTGAACGTAAGCGCAAAAGGCGTTTCATTTCGGCCTGATTTCTTCCACCCGCTTCGGGGACTTGCGATGCCATTGGAACCTAACGTCGAAGAACACGGGCGTAGAGAGGGAGATATACCACCAGAATTGTGGTTTGAGCAGAAGCTCGATCACTTCACTCCCTCTAACACCGAGGTTTTTTCTCAGGTATGTAAAGTCGCTTTCATACGGCGCACACCGCTACCGGTGAGGTTTCTCTCAGGTGAGTGTAATGGGGGGGGGGGGGGGGTGTGACGGGGGCAATGTGGCATTAGGTCTTTTGTTTAACTAATAATATCGGTACTTGTCCTACAAACTAGATCAGTGCAGGAAGCGGAAAATATTCTAGGACGAAGACTTCGCGCGGAACAAAGACGAGTTGTCGACTTCATTTTGGCAAATCCTGGTCGTAATGCTTTGCTTCTTGCGCCTACTGGTTGGGGGAAAACTCTCACTTTCACGATCCCGGCGCTATGCAAAAGATCCGTTGTCCTTCTAATTTCACCGCTGATTTCATTGTTGGAAGAACAAGTCAAAGTTTTTTCCGAGGGGAACTTTTTTGTGATTAACATGCGGGAGCGGCAACAAGATATCCCTTCAATAGAGACGACGCTCCTTATGATTTCTCGAGGGCCTTCTCCAGTTCTTCTTATAGGTACCCCGGAGAAATTTTATTTTAACGCTCACGTTGCTAATTATGTAAGCCAAGTGTTAGCATCTAGTGACGATACGCTCGTTGTATTCGATGAAATACACACGGCAGTGACGTGGGGTTTAGATTTTAGGAAGTCCTATCTTAGGTTTACAGAGCTCCTTTGCAATGTCAAAAATCTAACTTATTTATTTTGTACGGCTACTCTACCACCCCACCTGTTGAAGCCAATTGAAAGCATGATGGGCGTATCCGTTGACAGGATCTTCGATTTCACGGCATTAAGAACGACTGTATCCATTTCTGCCTATCACACCGCGGCTGACCCTAGTACCCTCACCCCTACAGGAATTACGTGCATAAAGCATATGCCCGGCAGTCTCGCTCGATTCTTAATTCGCAACTTTCTTCGAAAAGAATTGAGCGGCAGGGTAGGGATTATATTCGTCAACAATAGAGCAGGCGTCGAACGTTTGAGCAACGAATTACAGCGCAGAGGGATTTCTTGTACTCATTATCACGCCCACTTATCGCCAGACGAGAAGGCAGCGAGGGTCCTTTCCTGGAACAGGGGTCTCGTTCCTTTAATAATAAGTACATCGGCGCTTAGTCTCGGGATCAATAACGAAAGCCTTTCTTTCGTGATTCACATCGGGTATAGTAGCGCCGCGTCTTTTGTTGAATACGTTCAAGAAATAGGGAGGTGCGGTAGAAATCCCCGAATGCGGGGGGGGGATGGTATTTTATTAACAAGTGGGACTCACGATTACTTCGGTCTCGCTTGTAGGTTAAAGCTGCACCAATTACCCTCCGTGATATCGCACAATGACGCTCTTCTAAATTTTGGGTTTTGGAACCAAAATTACGGGTGCTGCCATTACCTTATATACGCTTATTTTACTCGCGACCGCGAAAGCGTAACCGTCGAAGATTTCGTAAAGTTGCGATGTTACAATTGTCACGCGTGCAAAGAAAATTTTTCTCGTCGGGAAAAATTTCCTTTCGCGGATGAGCAAGCAGTATTCGAACTTGTCGCGGAAACTCAAAAACACCCGGCCCCCCATTTCAGCTCCCTCCTTTTGCTATCTAAAATCCTCGCGGGGATAATCGATAGGCCAATAGCGGATTTAGGCGTTTATACGTTGAAGCAATATGGGGCGTTAAAGGGTACAACTGTCCAATATTGCCTCATACTTATAACCACTTTAATTTTGCTCCAGCGAATAGGATTCTCCGTCGATGTGAAGAAAGTAGGCAACGACTCTCATTTCTCCGTGAGCAGATATGCCGTAAATATCAATACTCCTTTTGCAAAATGAGACTCGATTGTCCTTAAGCCTAACAGACTGCCCCTTCTTCAATTGGCCCCTGCGTAATTCTTATTAGGGGCAAGACAGACGGGACACTGTCCGAGTGCTGATCAGCACCGACGCGGCCGCTGTTCCCCTCTGTTGTCACCGTCGAAGGTTTATCGTCCCGGGATTATTTTTGGCACGCGGGTGGCCACCGGAGAAACCCCTTGACATCGTTTCTTCGACCAGAGGCAGTTACCTCTCTGTTTTGCAATAACACCCTTCCTCGTGTACCGCCCTCTGCCTATGGAATGCATTATTAATGTGCAGTCGCATAAATGCCGATCAACAACGCTACCTCCACCATTCCAATTGTTGGAAAATGCTACACTGGCTTTGTAAAATAGAGAGGAGTCGTTATCTACACGGATCATTTATTCGCGGGTGATTGTGATGTTTGTGGCGTGGGTGGGAGTTTCAGCCGTTATTGCGTCGATGGATCTAAATTAATCGTTCATTTGGTGTTTTGAAAGAACACTCAGGCTTTCCATCGAAGAGATCCAAAGGTGAAGTTGCCTCAACGATGATCAACATCGAGATTGGTGTTTATGAGTACTGTGCACCCCCCCCCCCCCCCCCGTTCTGGGGGGTGTAACCCCGTACGGGTGGTGATCAACAGTGAGGTCGGTGCTCATTGATATTGGGAAGGGTTGGCTTTCCCGAAAGAAAAATTACAACTCACGTGTGTTACATTCATGTCGATATTCTTATTCACGATACGCCCTTGTGATATTTCAGGCGTGGTCCAAGAACCCTCTTCCCCGCCGTGCCACCATCAACTTTACGCACACCGACACGAATTGCAGACATACGCCAGTCTTCGACATTAGCGCGTCCCGCTTTTAATCACGCATACGACAAAATGACCATAGCTGAAGCAGAGGTGATAAGGTTGACCCCGCTGGCCCGACGGCGGGCATGTTTGCTGTACGCTAAGGAAATTAGCGAGAGGAAACGCGTTTACCTCGTAGTCGAGGATAAGATGGGATTTTTTTCCGAAATTATTGACGGTGTCTCGGAAAACAAATTCTTCCCGTTCTACGAATGTATATCGTCCGATGTCAAACCCCTTAAGCTCTACTTTGACATAGAATGGTTTGCCCCCGAGATAACGTTCAAAGTGGATGCTTATGCGTTGGTCTTGAGATTGGTACATACGTGGAACGCGTTTATTGGGAAAGCGTGCGTTCGGCTTGTCCACGGGGCGAAAGACATGGAGATTTTGGAATCCCACAATGCGCTCCCTGATTCCTGCGTGATTTCGAGAGACGAAAAAATTTCGTTTCACGTCATTTCCTTACAGAAAATTTACTTCGAGAATATGGCTGCGTTGAGGAAATGCGTAACGTTATTTTTTCATTTCTTGGAATCACGCAGGACTGCAGTCGCCCCCGACGTCAATACGAACGAATTCTTTCCCAAAAATAAATGCGTGCTGGACATTTCCGTATATAAAAGCAGACAGAACTTCCGGCTACCGTTGTGCTCCAAGTTGAAGGAGCCCTCCCGCCGCATGCGGTTCGTTGACGGGGCTCCTACGCCTATAAGATGCATCAGAGCTCTGTGTCAACCCATCGCTGTCACAGGTAGCGATGTGTTGATTAGAGAACGCGAGGTAAATGAATGGGTCGTCCAAAATCGCCTTCCATCGCGGGTAGCGGGGCCGCCAGGAGCCCACCCGGCAACTTTTCGACGTAATGTTGAGGATGATCCTCCACGTCAAGAACCGCCCACCCGAGAAACACCTTCGGGGGGCGCGTTCGTTGGCGCGCGCGCGCGTGGCGTCACGGAGGTCGCCGGCATCTCCGTTGCGCCACGTGGGTGTAGAGCTGACCCATTCATTTACCGACCACCTCTGTTCTCTCTTATCGACGACAAAAATCGAGTAGTCAAAAACCGCCCTCTCCACCAATACGAACCGACAACGTCTGCTGGTAGATCGTCTACTATTATATTTGGAAATGAAGCTAGCGCTGCCACTCATGGCGCCCCCTCACTTTCGAGCAAAAGAGACAACAGGCCAGTTTATGCCAACGTAGAGCTATCTCCCATTGGTAACGATCCGGATTTGACACGGACGATCTACTCCTTCGTCGAAAGGAAACTAGTCTACAAGGTAAACGCGTCACCCTATCTTGGCAACGATACGACGTATTATGTCGAAACTCTCTCTCGACAATGCCGGCTTGTCGGGCGAGAGCATACACGTAACAACGTATCTTTCGCTGTAAACATTAGATACAGGACCATTCATCAAATTTGCCATAGTGCTAAATGCGCTGGTCGGAAAGTGTTATTAGCAAACCTCTCTCTGTCGGACCCGGGGGGTCAACCTTCTTAAAGGCCACGTTAGGTTTTCATGGTGCGAACCCCCCATCTTCGCCAAAAGCATCACATTTTAAGGCTCGTATTGCGATGTCACCTTCTATCTCTTGTTTGCAATGTACACGTAGCTAAATTCACAGAAATATGTTAACCGAAAAACTAATTAATTAAACAATTGATAAATTAATTGGTTAATTAGTTTTATTTATTTTATTTAAAATGAGGGTCCAGTGATGTATAGAGTCGCCTTCCAAATATGTAATTAAATACTGTTACTTTCATGTATAATTGAAATTTGAGAGATTATACCTTCGAGTACAGGAACGCGCATGGTTGTATGTTAACTAAGCCCCCCCCCCCCTTCACACAAATGTCAGTGGAAAACGATTATGAGCCTGAACACTTGGCTCCTCTACAAGGGGATTTCCCATTTCACTTTGGACCCCTTTCTCACCCAATGATTACACGTAGGTAATTTCCTTTTTTTTACGGCTGGGGCGCCACACCAATTTCAAACGTAAAGCATCTTTTTTTTTCAAACAGCCCTCTGCAAAATGTAATCC